TATAGATGTAATAACAAGAGAAATTCAAGACTATTTGCACATTTCATGGAGCAGTGGAGGGACAATGCAAGTTATGAAAGATCGATCCCTTGAAGGATGATTAAGTCTTAGGAAATACAGGACTGCTGGCATCTGACATGCTTGCAAATCAGCAGCCTACACTTCACATAACCTCAAGTTGTTGTTCCTAGAGCTCTGCCGAGCTAAGATAGACTTTGAAATTCTTTAGAACCTAGTGCTGCAGTGCTCCAGACTGGATTTCCTAGGGGTATGTGTGTGTACAAACATTCACACAGAAGCCAGTTAAAGTAGCAAATCAGAACATTTCAAGTGACAGCTTGACAAATTGAGCATTATTTCCGCTGACAACTCTTGACCAGCTGATCTGTAAATACAGACATTTCAAGAAACTCAAAATAAGCTTCTTCATTTTCACCTTATGGAATCATTAAAATATAATCCAATATGCTTATCAGTTTACTTATTTATTTTTTTTAATTTATCAATGCCTAAAATTCAACCTTCCTAAAAGGCAGAGGTACAATCCTGAATAACTCTACCTTTTCTTTAGGCAAAAAGCTGGGCAGTTTAATGCTTTCAGTAAAGTCTCCACTTACTTCACTGTGGAAATAAGCTAAAGTTAATATTTAATACCTCATAAATTTCATGTAAGACTTGCTAGCATTTTACATTAGAACCAGTTACTCATTTCTTCCTGGATTACTGGACACTTTTGGATTACAACCTCAAACTGGCACTAGCTGTACAAAATTCTATGTTTATCTATGTCTGCAGAAATTGATACAACTGCATTTTCACTTCCTATGAGGATGAAATGAGAGCATGAAGAAAATAAGCTGATTCTCTTAAGCATAGGGAAAGCACATCAAATTGAGTACTTGCCAAAAAAGACAAAAAACATAACTGCTGCTTAAAAATATGTATCAAGATATCAAAATAGGCTTGCAATGAGCCAAGAGAAAACAGTGGGTTTTTTTGTTTGTTTTTA